ACAGAGATAGATAGAGATACATAGAGATACATAGAGACCCACAGAGATAGATCGAGACCCACAGAGACATATAGAGACCCACAGAGATACATAGAGACCCACAGATATACATAGAGGCACATAGAGATACATAGACACCCATAGAGATACATAGACACACAGAGACACATAGAGACCCATAGAGATATATAGAGATACATAGAGACCCACAGAGATACATAGATACCCATAGAGATACATAGAGACCCATAGAGCTACATAGAGACCTATAGAGATACATAGAGACCCACAGAGATACACAGAGACCCACAGAGATAGAGACCCACAGAGATACATAGAGACTCACAGAGATACATAGAGACACATAGAGATACATAGAGACCCACAGAGATACATAGAGACACACAGAGATACATAGAGACCCACAGAGATACATAGAGACCCACAGAGATACATAGAGACGCACATAGATACATAGAGACCCACAGAGATACATAGAGACCCACAGAGATACATAGAGACCCACAGAGATGCATAGAGACCCACAGAGGTACAGAGACCCATAGAGATACATAGAGACCCACAGAGATACATAGAGACCCCCAGAGATACATAGAGACCCACAGAAATACATAGAGACCCACAGAGATACATAGAGATACATAGAGACCCACAGAGATACATAGAGACCCACAGAGAGACATAGAGACCCACAGAGATACATAGAGACCCCATGGAGATACATAGAGATCCACAGAGATACACAGAGACACACAGACCCATCGATCTACATAGAGACCCATAGAGATACTTCGAGACCCACAGAGATACATAGAGACACATAGAGATACATAGAGAAACATAGAGATACATAGAGACCCATAGAGATACATAGAGACCCACAGAGCTACATAGAGACCCACAGAGATACATAGAGACCCCATGGAGATACATAAAGACCCACACAGATACATAGAGACCCACAGAGATACATAGAGACACACAGAGATACATAGAGACCCACAGAGATAGATAGAGACCCATAGAGATACATAGAGACACAGAGACACATTGACATCCACAGAGATACATAGAGACCCTTAGAGATACATAGAGTTACATAGAGACCCACAGAGATAGATAGAGATCCACAGAGATACATAGAGACCCACAGAGATACATAGAGACCCACAGATATACATAGAGACCCACAGAGATACATAGAGACCGACAGAGATACATAGAGACACACAGACCCACAGAGATACATAGAGACCCACAGAGATACATAGAGACCCACAGAGTGGTGGTGAGTCTATGGCTCTCTGTGTGGTGGTGAGTCTATGGGTCTCTGTGTGGTGGTGAGTCTATGGGTCTCTATGTGGTGGTGAGTCTGTGGGTCTCTGTGTGGTGGTGAGTCTGTGTCTGTGTGATGGTGAGTCTGTGTCTGTGTGGTGGTGAGTCTATGGGTCTCTGTGTGGTGGTGAGTCTATGGGTCTATTTGTGGTGGTGAGTCTATGGGTCTCTGTGTGGTGGTGAGTCTATGGGCCTCTGTGTGGTGGTGAGTCTATGGGCCTCTGTGCGGTGGTGAGTCTATGGGTCTCTGTGTGGTGGTGAGTCTATGGGTCTCTGTGTGGTGGTGAGTTTATGGATCTCTGTGTGGTGGTGAGTCTATGGGTCTCTGTGTGGTGGTGAGTCTGTGTGATGGTGAGTCTATGGCTCTCTGTGTGGTGGTGAGTGTGTGTCTGTGTGGTGGTGAGTCTATGGGTCTCTGTGTGGTGGTGAGTCTATGTCTGTGTGGTGGTGAGTCTATGGGTCTCTGTGTGGTGGTGAGTCTATGGGTCTCTGTGTGGTGGTGAGTCTGTGTCTGTGTGGTGGTGAGTCTATGGGTCTCTGTGTGGTGGTGTGTCTATGGGTCTCTGCGTGGTGGTGAGTCTATGGCTCTCTGTGCGGTGGTGAGTCTATGGGTCTCTGTGTGGTGGTGAGTCTATGGCTATCTGTGTGGTGGTGAGTCTATGGCTCTCTGTGCGGTGGTGAGTCTGTGGGTCTCTGTGTGGTGGTGAGTCTGTGGGTCTCTGTGTGGTGGTGAGTCTATGGGTCTCTGCGTGGTGGTGAGTCTATGGCTCTCTGTGTGAGTGAGTCTATGGGTCTCTGTGTGGTGGTGAGTCTATGGGTCTCTGTGTGGTGGTGAGTCTGTGGGTCTCTGTGTGGTGGTGAGTCTATGGGTCTCTGTGTGGTGGTGAGTCTGTGTGTAAAGCAATCAACACCGATATAAAAAAAACAAGCTCATCACCACCATCTGCCACTCATCACTTCCTTTATTGGTTTTTCGTACCGGCATCAGACTGACAGCTGCCGCTGGGGGTGCCCCTAGGCTAGAGACCCACACAGCAGCAGTTACCATCACTCTCCTACAGGCAGCAGACTGACGCACAGAGACAGCTGCCACTGGGGGTGCCCCTAGGCTATGGACCCACACAGAAGCAGTGTCCATTGCTTTCTGCGGTCAAACTTGGTGCGTTATTATCATCATCATCATCAGCTTCTTCATCATCATCAGCAGTAGTTATGAGCAGCAGGAATAGCAAGCAGTAGCAGCATCGGCAGCATCATCATCAGCAACAGTGACATCAGCAGCAGCAGCATCACCATCATCATTAGCATCATCATCATCATCAGTATCGCCATCATCATCAGCATCGCCATCATCATTAGCATCATCATCATAATCAGTATCGCCATCATCATCATCAGTATCGCCATCGCCATCACCTTCATCAGTATCGCCATCATCACCATTAGCATCGCCATCATCATCATTAGCATCGCCATCATCATCATTAGCATCGCCATCATCATCATCAGTATCGCCATCATCATCAGTATCGCCATCATCATCATCAGTATCGCCATCATCATCAGCATTGCCATCATCATCATTAGCATCGCCATCATCATCATTAGCATCGCCATCATGATCATCATCATCAGTATCGCCATCATCATCATCAGTATCGCCATCATCATCATCAGTATCGCCATCATCATCATCAGTATCGCCATCATCATCATCAGTATCGCCATCATCATCATCATCAGTATCGCCATCATCATCATCATCAGTATCGCCATCATCATCATCAGTATCGCCATCATCAGTATCGCCATCATCATCAGCAGTCGCATCAGCATCATCATCATCATCATCGCCATAATCATCATCAGCATCATCATCATCAGTATCGCCATCATCATCAGCATCATCATCATCAATATCGCCATCAGCAGTCGCATCAGCATCATCATCAGCACGACCGCTGCCCACCAACTCTGTCTGACCTCCAACATCGTGACCCCTGCACCTGGTGACCTCCAACATCGTGACCCCTGCACCTACTGACCCCTCGGTGACCTCCTGGTGACCCCCTAGGTGACTCCTCAGGGGACCCCTCCAGTGACCCCTCTGGTGACCCACGAGATAACCCCCCAATGACCCCCAGGTGACCCCCTGGTGACCTCCCTGGTGACCTCCCTGGTGACCCCTCTGGTGACCCCCCCGGTGACCTCCGCTGGTGATGCCCCTAGGTGACCCCCCGGTGTCCCCCAAGGTAACCCCCAAATGACCTCCTGGTGACCCCCCGGTGACCCCCTAGGTGACCCCCATGGTGACCTCCCTGGTGACCCCTCCGGTGACCCCCCTGGTGACCCCTCATAGGTGACCCCCTGGTGACCCCAAGATAACCCCCCCAATGACCCCCTAGGTGATCCCCCCGGTGACCCTACTGGTGACCCCCTGGTGACCTCCATGGTGACCTCTCTGGTGATCCCCCGGTGACCCCCCTAGTGAACCCCCAAGGTGACCCCTCGTTGACCTCCAGGTGACCCCCCAGTAACCCCCCATGGTGAACCATAGATTAACCCCGAGATGACCCCCTGATGACCACCCGGTGACCCCCTGGTGACCCCCTGGTGACCCCCCAGGTGACCCCCTGGTGACCCCCCAGGTGAGCTGCGAGGGGAGTCGGCACAGGGGGGAGGAGGAGGCGTTGGCGACCGTTGCCGTGGCGACCGTCGCCCTGACAGCTGTTGCCGTGGCGACCGTTGCCGTGGCGACCATTGCCGTGGCGACCGCTGGGCAGCGTTGCCAGGCATGAGGAGGTGGAGGAGGTGGAGGAGGAGGTGGAGGAGGTGGAGGATGCCGCTGCCGTTGCTGGGGGGGGGGGGGGGGGGCGGTCGCCGTGGTTGCCGTGGCAACGAGCGGCCCGGAGTTACCGATGGAGGTGTGCGAAGGGGGTGGAGGAGGTGGAGGAAGGGATGGAGGCCGAGGAGGTTGAGGAGGGGGTGGAGAAGGGGGTGGAGGAGGTTGAGGAGGTGGAGGTTGAGGAGGGGGTGGAGGTGGTGGAGGAGGGGGTGGAGGAGGTGGAGGAGGTTGAGGAGGTGGAGGTTGAGGAGGGGGTGGAGGAGGTGGAGGAGGTGGGAGAGGTGGAGGAGGAGGTGGGGGTGGAGGCGGTGGAGGCGGTGGTGGAGCTTGAGGAGGCGGTGGAGGGGATGGAGGCCGAGGAGATGGAGGCGATGGTGGTGGAGGCCGACGACGAGGAGGTGGAGGAGGAGGAGGTGGAGGAGGTGGTTGAGGAGGGGGTGGAGGAGGTGGAGGAGGAGGGGATGGAGGCTGAGGAGGTTGAGGATGGGGTGGAGGAGGTGGGAGAGGCGGTGGAGGCAGTGGTGGAGCCTGAGGAGGCGGTGGAGGGGATGGAGGCCGAGGAGATGGTGGCGATGGTGGTGGAGGCCGACGACGAGGAGGTGGAGGAGGTGGAGGAGGCGATGGTGGTGGAGGAGGTGGTGGTGGAGGAGGAGGTTGAGGAGGCAGTGGTGGAGCTTGAGGAGGCGGTGGAGGGGATGGAGGCCGAGGAGATGGTGGCGATGGTGGTGGAGGCCGACGACGAGGAGGTGGAGGAGGGGGTGGAGGAGGTGGTGGAGGCGATGGTGGTGGAGGAGGTGGTGGTGGAGGAGGAGGAGGTGGAGGAGGTGGAGGTTGCGTGTCCCGGCCGTGCCAGCCGGGTGCTCCACCTGCGAAGGGCAACTGCTGCTCGCTGGCGGAAGTGGCGCGTGGTGAGCGTGTAGAGGAGCGGGTTCAGGGCCGAGTTGATGGGCAGGATGAAGATGACCACCCACGAGCTCATGGTGCCTGTGGGAGGAGGGAGGGGGGGGGGGGGAGCGAAACGTCGTGGGAACGTCGCGGGGAATGTCAGGAACGTCGTGGGAACGTCGTGGGAACGTCAGGAACGTCGTGGGAACGTCAGGAACGTCGTGGGAACGTCGTGGGAACGTCAGGAACGTTGTGGGGAAGTCGGCAACGTCGCGGGGACGTATGTGTGAATCTCATGGGGACGTTGGGGAACGTCGTGAGAACGTTGTGGGAACGTCGTGGAAGCGTCGTGGGAACGTCAGCAACGTCGTGGGACCGTATGTGTGAATCTCATGGGAATGTCAGGAACGTCGTGGGAACGTCGTGGGAACGTCGGAAACGTCGTGGGAACGTCGCGGGAACGTCGTGGGAACGTATGTGTGAATCTCATGGGAACGTCGGGAACATCGTGGGAACGTCGTGGGAACGTTGTGCGAACGTCGTGGGAACGTCGTGGGAACGTCGGAACGTCGTGGGAACGTCAGGAACGTCGTGGGAACGTTGTGGGAACGTCGTGGGAACGTCGTGGGAACGTCGGGAACGTCGGGAACGTTGTGCGAACGTTGTGGGAACGTCGTGGGAACGTCGTGGGAACGTCGGGAACGTCGGGAACGTTGTGCGAATGTCGTGGGAACGTCGTGGGAACGTCGGAAACGTCGTGGGAACGTCAGGAACGTCGTGGGAACGTCAGCAACGTCACGGGAACGTACGTGTGAATCTCATGGGAACGTCGGGAACATCGTGGGAACGTTGTGGGAACGTCGTGGGAACATCGGAAACGTCGTGGGAACGTCAGGAACGTCGTGGGAACGTCAGGAACGTCGTGGGAACGTATGTGTGAATCTCATGGGAACGTCGGGAACATCGTGGGAACGTCGTGGGAACGTCGTGGGAACGTCGGAAACGTCGTGGGAACGTCAGGAACGTCGTGGGAACGTCGCGGGAACGTCGGAACGTCGTGGGAACGTCAGGAACGTCGTGGGAACGTCGCGAGAACGTCGTGGGAAACGTCGTGGGAACGTCAGGAACGTCGCGAGAACGTCGTGGGAAACGTCGTGGGAACGTCAGGAACGTCGTGGGAACGTCAGGAACGTCGCGCGAACGTCGCGCGAACGTCGCGCGAACGTCGCGCGAACGTCGTGGGAACGTCAGGAACGTCGCGGGAACGTCGCGGGAACGTCGCGGGAACGTCGCGCGTCCCCCACCGGGAATGTCGACGCTGAGGAGCGCGAGCGCCTTCAGCACGAAGATGGGGATCCAGCAGAGCGCGTCGGTGAGGACGATGAAGAAGAATCGTCGAGCCACCCCCAGGTCGCGACGGGCCCGGCCGGAGGTCACGGCGGTGACCCCCGGCCGTGACCTCCTGACCCCACGCCCCGCCCCTCCCCCGCCACCCCGCGCGGGGCCACGGAGAGACCAGAACATGGAAGAGTAGCAGAGGAGGATGACGAGGAAGGCGATGAGGTTCACACCTGCAGGTGGTGGGTGGTGGTGGTGGTGGTGGGGGTTGTGGTGGTGGTGGGGGTGGTGGTGGGAGTGGTGGTGGTGGTGGTAGTGTTGGTTGGAGGGATGGCAGTGGTGGTGGGGGTGGTGGTGGTGATTGCAGGACAAAGAGAGGGGCAACTGTTAACGTCATCATCACCACCACCCCCACCACCACCACCACTACCACCACCACCCACCACCACAACCACCACCACCACCAACACCACCACCACTTCAACCACCACCAACCATCACCTCCACCACCACCACCACCATCACCAACACCACCAACCACCACCTCCACCACCACCATCCCTCCAACCAACACCACCACCTGCACCACCCTCACCACCACCACCACCACCACCACCACCCCCACCCCCACCCCCACCACCACCACCACCAACCACCACCACCACCACCATCACCCACACCACCAACCACCACCATCACCACCACCACCCACCAACCACCCCCACCACCACCACCACCACCACCACCCCAACCACCAACCACCACCACCACCACCACCACCCACCACCACCACCACCACCACAACCACCACAACCACCACCCACCCACCACCAACCACCACCAAACCCACCCAGCAACACCCCGTCCGAGTAGACCTTTGCCGTGCCGCCGCCGCCGCCGCCGCCGCCCGGCCGCCTGTCCGCGTGCAGTGGGAAGCAGACTCCGTTGCGTCCGTACAGGTCGTCACCCAGACGCCCGCCCACCAGCAGGGGGCCCAGCGCCAGAGACGAGCCGCCCAGCCAGGCCACGGCCAGCGAGACCTGGGTCCTCCTCCTGCTGCTGCTGCTGCTGCTGCTGCTGCTGCGGCCGCCTCGCCGGCAGGAGGACGCGGGCACGGAGCGGGACGACCAGGAGGAGGACGAGGAGGAGGAGGAGGAGCGGGAGGAGGAGGAGGACGAGGAGGAGGAGGGCGGTGGTGGAGGCGGTGGTGGCGGTGGCGAGGACGAGAAGGGGAACACGATGCAGGCAAAGCGCTCCAACGTTAGGGCGGCGAGGAGGAGCACGGAGACCTTGGGGGGGGGGAGGAGGGGGAGAGGGGGGGGGAGAGGGGGGAGGAGAGGAAGAGGGGGGAGAGGGGGGAGAGGGGGGAGAGGGGGTTGAAAATATTTCCCCAAGGAAACGTCGCCAAGAACGTCACCAAGAACGTCACCAAGAACGTCACCGAGAACGTCACCGAGAACGTCACCGAGAACGTCACCGAGAACGTCACCAAGAACGTCACCAAGAACGTCACCGAGAACGTCACCGAGAACGTCACCGAGAACGTCACAGAGAACGTCACCAAGAACGTCACCGAGAACGTCACCAAGAACGTCACCAAGAACGTCACCAAGGACGTCACCGAGAACGTCACCAAGAACGTCACCAAGAACGTCACCAAGAACGTCACCGAGAACATCACCAAGAACGTCACCAAGAACGTCACCAAGAACGTCACCAAGAACGTCACCAAGAACGTCACCAAGAACGTCACCGAGAACGTCACCAAAAACGTCACCAAGAACGTCACCGAGAACGTCACCAAGAACGTCACCAAGAACGTCACCAAGAACGTCACCGAGAACGTCACCGAGAACGTCACCGAGAACGTTACCAAGAACGTCACCAAGAACGTCACCGAGAACGTCACCAAGAACGTCACCAAGAACGTCACCAAGAACGTCACCAAGAACGTCACCAAGAACGTCACCAAGAACGTCACCGAGAACGTCACCGAGAACGTCACCAAGAACGTCACCAAGAACGTCACCGAGAACGTCACCGAGAACGTCACCAAGAACGTCACCAAGAACGTCACCAAGAACGTCACCAAGAACGTCATCAAGAACGTCACCAAGAACGTCACCGAGAACGTCACCGAGAACGTCACCGAGAACGTCACCGAGAACGTCACCAAGAACGTCACCAAGAACGTCACTGAGAACGTCACCAAAAACGTCACCAAGAACTTCACCAAGAACGTCACCAAGAACGTCACCAAGAACGTCACCAAGAACGTCACCAAGAACGTCATCAAGAACGTCACCAAGAACTTCACCAAGAACGTCACTAAGAACGTCACCAAGAACGTCACCGAGAACGTCACCAAGAACGTCACCAAGAATGTCACCAAGAACGTCACCAAGAACGTCACCAAGAACGTCACCAAGAACGTCACCGAGAACGTCACCGAGAACGTCACCAAGAACGTCACCAAGAACGTAACCAAGAACGTCACCAAGAACGTCACCAAGAACGTCACCAAGAACGTCACCAAGAACGTCACCGAGAACGTCACCGAGAACGTCACCAAGAACGTCACTGAGAACGTCACCAAGAACGTGACCAAGAACGTCACCAAGAACGTCACTGAGAACGTCACCAAGAACGTCACCAAGAACGTCACCAAGAATGTCACCGAGAACGTCACCGAGAACGTCACCAAGAACGTCACCGAGAACGTCACCAAGAACGTCACCAAGAATGTCACCGAGAACGTCACCGAGAACGTCACCGAGAACGTCACCAAGAACGTCACCGAGAACGTCACCGAGAACGTCACCGAGAACGTCACCAAGAACGTGACTGAGAACGTCACCAAGAACGTCACCAAGAACGTCACCAAGAACGTCACCAAGAACGTCACCGAGAACGTCACCAAGAACGTCACCGAGAACGTCACCAAGAACGTCACCAAGAACGTCACCGAGAACGTCACCAAGAACGTCACCAAGAACGTCACCAAGAACGTCACCGAGAACGTCACCAAGAACGTCACCGAGAACGTCACCGAGAACGTCACCGAGAACGTCACCGAGAACGTCACCAAGAACGTGACTGAGAACGTCACCAAGAACGTCACCAAGAACGTCACCAAGAACGTCACCAAGAACGTCACCGAGGACATCACCAAGAACGTCACCAAGAACGTCACCAAGAACGTCACCAAGAACATCATCAAGAACGTCACCAAGAACGTCACCAAGAACGTCACCAAGAACATCATCAAGAACATCATCAAGAACGTCACCAAGAACGTCACCGAGAACGTCACCGAGAACGTCACCGAGAACGTCACCAAGAACGTCACCAAGAACGTCACCGAGAACGTCACCAAGAACATCATCAAGAACATCATCAAGAACGTCACCAAGAACGTCACCGAGAACGTCACCGAGAACGTCACCGAGAACGTCACCAAGAACGTCACCAAGAACGTCACCGAGAACGTCACCGAGAACGTCACCGAGAACGTCACCAAGAACGTCACCAAGAACGTCACCAAGAACGTCACCAAGAACATCATCAAGAACATCATCAAGAACGTCACCAAGAACGTCACCGAGAACGTCACCGAGAACGTCACCGAGAACGTCACCAAGAACGTCACCAAGAACGTCACCGAGAACGTCACCGAGAACGTCACCGAGAACGTCACCAAGAATGTCACCAAGAACGTCACCGAGAACGTCACCAAGAACGTCACCAAGAACGTCACCAAGAACGTCACCGACAACGTCACCAAGAACGTCACCAAGAACGTCACCAAGAACGTCACGGGAATGTCGCGGGAACGTCGCGGGAACGTCGTGGCAACGTCGTGGGAACGTCAGAAACGTCGTGGGAACGTCAAGAACGTCGAGGGAACGTCGTGGGAACGTCAGAAACGTCGTGGGAACGTCAAGAACGTCGTGGGAACGTCGCGGGAACGTCGTGGGAACGTCAAGGACGTCGTGGGAACGTCGTGGGAACGTCAGAAACGTCGTGGGAACGTCAAGAACGTCGTGGGAACGTCGTGGGAACGTCGGAAACGTCGTGGGAACGTCGTGGGAACGTTGTGGGAACGTCCGAAACGTCGTGGGAACGTCAAGAACGTCGTGGAGAACGTCAAGAACGTCGTGCAGAACGTCGTGGGAACGTTAGGAACGTCGTGGGAACGTCAAGAACGTCGTGGGAACGTCGCGGAAACGTCGCGGGAACGTCACGGAAACGTCGTGGAAACGTCAAGAACGTCGTGGGAACGTCAGAAATGTCGTGGGAACGTCAAGAACGTCGTGGGAACGTCGGGGGAACGTCGTGGGAACGTCAGAAACGTCGGAAACGTCGCGGGAACGTCGCGGGAACGTCAGGAACGTCGTGGGAACGTCGCGGGAACGTCGCGGGAACGTCGGAAACGTCGTGGGAACGTCGCGGGAACGTCATGGGAACGTCGTGGGAACGTCAGAAACGTCGTGGGAACGTCAAGAACGTCGTGGACAACGTCAAGAACGTCGTGGGAACATCGCGGGAACGTCAGAAACGTCGTGGGAACGTCACGAACGTCGTGGGAACGTCGCGGGAACGTCAGAAACGTGGCGGCAACCTCTGTGGAGAGGACTGCGAGTGCTCCGAGTAGGCGACAGGCGTTGCTGCTGGTCCAGGCGTGAGCGTGCCGATTGTAGTCGCCGCGGAAGCGGGCGTCACACACGCCGATAGCCAGCAGGTAGACTCCCATCAGGCCGTCAGCACCTGGGGTGTGGTGGGGGGGTGGTGGTGGGGGGGGTGGTGGTGGGGGGGGTGGTGGTGGGGGGGAGAGGTGGGGGGGAGATGAGGTAGACCCCCATTAGGCCGTCGGCACTGAGTGGGAGAGAGGGGGAGATGGGTGGGTGGGGCGTCTGGGGAACAGACACACACACACACCACACACCACACACACACACCACACACTCTCCACACCACACACACACACCACACACACACCACACACACCCACCACACACACACACACAGCACACACACACACACACACCACACACACACACCACACACACCCACCACACACTCTCCACACCACACACACACATCCACACCACACACACCACACACCACACCACACACACACCACACCACTCACCACACACCACACACACACCACACACCACACCACACACACACCACACCACTCACACCCACATCACCCTCCCCACTAACACACCACTCACACCAACACCAACCTCCCCACACAACCTCCCCACCCACCCTCCCCACACAACCTCCCCCCACCACACACCACCACACACACCACCCACACACAACCACACGACTCACAGCACAGGTTCTTGATGCTGAGGGCGTGCCCGGGGTTCTCGGCGGGCACGCAAGTCCGCGCGCAGGCCACGGCCACGTTGCCGGCGCAGGTGGCGAGCGCCACGAGCCACACGAGGCCACGGAGCGGCGCCGGGGCCAGGAGGTGCTGCAGGGACGAGACCCCGTCAGATGGCGGGCGACAACCTCGTACCAGAGGGGCGTGCGAGCAGAGGTGGAAGTGGGAGAAGTAGCTACGGTGGTGGGTGGGGTGGGTGGGTGGGTGGTGGGGAGGGTGGGTGGGTGGTGGGGAGGGTGGGTGGGTGGTGGGGAGAGAGAGAGAGAGAGACACACGGGGTGATTATGGATTCATTCACTTGCTCTATCGATCTGCTCACACTCTCTGAGTGGGTGAGTGGGTGAGTGAGTTGGTGAGTGAGTGAGTGAATAGGTGAGTGAGTGAGTGAGTAGGTGAGTGAGTGAGTGGGTGAGTAGGTGAGTGAGTGAGTGGGTGAGTGAGTAGGTGAGTGGGTGAGTGAGTGAGTAGGTGAGTGAGTGAGTGGGTGAGTGGGTGAGTGAGTGAGTGGGTGAGTGGGTGGGTGAGTGAGTGAGTGAGTGGGTGAGTGAGTGAGTGGGTGAGTGAGTGAGTGAGTGGGTGAGTGAGTGAGTGAGTGAATAGGTGAGTGAGTGAGTGAGTAGGTGAGTGAGTGAGTAGGTGAGTGAGTGAGTGAGTAGGTGAGTGAGTGAGTGGGTGAGTGAGTGGGTGAGTGAGTGAGTGGGTGAGTGAGTGAGTGGGTGAGTGAGTGGGTGAGTGAGTGAGTAGGTGAGTGAGTGAGTGAGCGACAACTTCGCACCAGCGGGGCGTGCGAGCAGAGGTGGAAGTGGGAGAAGTAGCTACGGTGGTGGGTGGGGTGGGTGGGTGGGGAGGGTGGGTGGGTGGGTGGGGAGGGTGGGTGGGAGGTGGGGAGAGAGAGAGAGACACACGGGGTGATTATGGATTCATTCACTTGATCTATCGATCTGCTCACACTCTCTGAGTGGGTGAGTGGGTGAGTGGGTTGGTGAGTGAGTGAGTGGGTGGATGAGTGAGTGGGTGGATGAGTGAGTGAGTGGGTGGGTGGATGAGTGGGTGAGTGGGTGAGTGAGTGGGTGAGTGAGTGAGTGGGTGAGTGAGTGGGTGAGTGAGTGAGTGGGTGAGTGGGTGGGTGAGTGAGTGGGTGAGTGAGTGAGTGGGTGGGTGAGTGAGTGAGTGAGTGGGTGAGTGAGTGAGTGGCAGCTGCGCACCAGCGGGGCGTGCGAGCAGAGGTGGAAGTGGGAGAAGTAGCTACGGTGTGGGTGGTGGTGGGGAGGGTGGGTGGGTAGGGTGGGAGGTGGGGAGGGTGGGTAGGTGGTGGGGAGGGTGGGTGGGGAGGGTGGGAGGTGGGGAGGGTGGGTGGGTAGTGGGGAGAGAGAGAGACACGGGGTGCTTATGGATTCATTCACTTGCTCTATCGATCTGCTCACACTCTCTGAGTGGGTGGGTGGGTGGGTTGGTGAGTGAGTGAGTGGGTGGATGAGTGAGTGGGTGGATGAGTGAGTGAGTGGGTGGGTGGATGAGTGGGTGGGTGGGTGGGTGAGTGGGTGAGTGAGTGGGTGAGTGAGTGAGTGAGTAGGTGAGTGAGTGAGTGAGTAGGTGAGTGAGTGAGTGAGTGGGTGAGTGAGTAGGTGAGTGAGTGAGTGAGTGGGTGAGTGAGTAGGTGAGTGGGTGAGTGTGTGAGTGAGTGAATGTGTGAGTGAGTGGGTGAGTGGCTGGGTGGGTGAGTGAGTGAGTGGGTGGGTGAGTGGGTGAGTGAGTGAGTGAGTGGGTGAGTGGATGGGTGAGTGAGTGGGTGAGTGAGTGAGTGGGTGGGTGAGTGGGTGGGTGAGTGAGTGTGTGAGTGAGTGAGTGGGTGAGTGAGTAGGTGAGTGAGTGAGTGAGTAGGTGGGTGAATGAGTGGGTGAGTGAGTGGGTGAGTGAGTGGGTGAGTGAGTGAGTAGGTGAGTGAGTGAGTAGGTGAGTGAGTGAGTGGATGAGTGAGTGAGTGAGTGGGTGAGTGAGTGAGTGTGTGAGTGAGTGAGTGGGTGAGTGAGTGTGTCAGTGAGTGGGTGAGTGAGTGGGTTAGTGGGTGAGTGGGTGAGTGAGTGGGTGAGTGAGTGGGTGAGTGAGTGGGTGGGTGAGTGAGTGGGTGAGTGGGTGAGAGGAGGTACAGCAAGTAGATGGAGACTTACATGTGCTCCAGCTCTCTGAGTGGCCAGAACATCTCCTGTCGGATGTTCTCTATCTCGATGCCTTCCAAGCTCCTGTTGACGAGAGACGGGGAGAGGGGCATCTGTGTGTGTGTGTGTATCTGTGTGTATGTATCTGTCCGGCAAAACAACCCCCTACCTCCTCGCGGTGCCGGACGGTCAACTCTGTCGTGGACAGTGCTGTGGGGGGAGGGCCAATTCCGATTGGTTCCTCCCCTCAAGGCGTCTGTGACCACCACAGGGGCTAAACAGGGGCTCTGGACGTGTGCGAGGGGCTGGTAACCCCTCCACCTTCAAAAAATTACCACGAAACTACGACTTAAACTTAAATATGTAACAAATAAGCTTGTGCCGGAGGCCCCGGGGGGACAGGCGTCTTTGACGTCTCCTGGCCAAACCCCAATTGGCGGAGCCAGGAGATTGAATCTCAACCCTCGGGGCTCCTCCAGAAACAACGAAAAACCACGTCGTTTGGCCACGTGGAATGTTCGAGTGCTCACTGCGGAGGAGAGGCTACCACTCCTCTGTCGGGAGCTGGACTGGTACCGCCTGGATCTCTGTGGCATTTAGGAGGTCCGGTGGAATGGTTCTGGCTCCTGCCACCATGAGGGGTGGACAGTTCTCTACTCGGGGCAGGAGACTGCCAAACAACAGGGAGTGGCTCTTCTTTTGAACAAAAGAATGAAGGGGGCGTAGGAGCGTGGCGGTGAGGTGTGGGAAGCTGTAAGCCCCAGGCTACTTTGGGCTCGCCTTCCCATCAATCGGAGGCGAGGATTGGTGGTCGTGGTTACTTATGCCCCCACCGAAGACGAACATCCGTGGAGGGATGCAGGCAAAGCCGATGAGTAAGATGCCTTCTATGACCTCCTGTCACAGGTGCTGGCTAAAGTGGCCCCTCGGGATAGAGTCATCTTGTTGGGTGACTTCAATGCCCGAGTTGGTCATGATGCTGGCACCTGGCCTGGAGTGATTGGAGGGCATGGGCCAGATCAGCTTAATAACAACGGTAGGAGGCTGCTAGATTTTTGTGCAGCCCATGGACATGTAATTACCAACACGCTGTTCCGGCATCGGCGCATCCACACAACATCATGGATGCATACCGGGTCCAAGCAAGAACATGTGCTGGACTACATAGTGACGGACCAGCGGATGCGAGCCCATGTCCTTGACACCAGGACCTACCATGGAGCTGATCTGCCCTCTGACCATCGACTAGTCATCTGTAAGATGCGTCGCCCATTCTTCCGCTCCGGTGGTGGGTGTATACCCAGGACCCCATTCCAACCAAAAGTGGCCTGGTCTCAGCTAGCTGATGAAAGTTGCAAGCGAGAATTTCATCATCGCCTGCGGCTGGGTTTTATATCGTCCCCCACTCCTCCTGATGTCGAGGGTAAATGGGCGAGGTTTAGAACTGTGACTCATGCGGCTGCAATGTCTGCTTTGGGTACGCGGTCAGGACCTCCCGAGAGACCCTGGCTGACAGAGGAGGTGTTCAGGATGGTTGAGAAAAAGCGACAGGCCCACAGTCATTGGCTACAGAATCCCACGTCAGAGAATGAGGAGGCTTACCGCAACCATCGCTCAGAGGTTCGGAGAGCCGTGAGGCGCTGCAAGGATGGGTGGTGGTCGCGGGTTGCTGAGGAGATGGAGTCTGCCTCAGTGGCCCGTGATCACAAATCTCTATTTAACGCTATCAAAAAAGTAACCTGCAGCGCCACACCTATTACCATCATTAAGGGAAAAAACGGTGATCCAATCTCCGACCCCCAGGAACAGGTTTGCAGATTTGCTGAGCATTTCTGTGAGGTCCTGGGGGAGGGAAAATCCCTCAGCCAGGAAAACATCGTGGCACAAAGTGAGGATGACCCTGCTGAGGCTGCGGTGCCTCAAATATTGGAAGAAGTCACCCCCTGTGAGTGGCTGGCTGAGGTGCCATCTGTTGAGGAAGTACTGAAGGCGATCCGGAGTCTGAGACCAGGAAAGGCAGCGGGCAGAGATGGTCTCCCAAGCGAAATGCTGAGGGAAGGTGGCGTTTGTGCACAGACTGCCCTATATGACATCATAACAATGGTCTGGACCACTGGACGGGTTCCACAGAATTGGAAGGATGCCCTGGTGGTCCCCCTTTTTAAGAAGGGGGACCGCACAGACTGTAACAACTACAGGGGCATCTCACTACTCAGTGTGCCGGGAAAGGTCCTGGCAAGGATTATTCAGCATCGCCTTGCCAGGTACGCTGAGGAGAGGCTTGCGGAGCCCCAATGCGGTTTCAGGATAGGGCGGTCCTGCACAGATGCCATATTTTCTGTCCGTCTGCTACAGCAAAGGTGTAGGGAATTCCAACAAGACCTACATCTCTGCTTTATTGACCTGGTCAAGGCCTATGATACCATCAGTAGGCCTGGGCTCTGTGTCGTTCTTCGTGCTTTTGGAGTACCTGACCCTCTGCTCACGATCATTAAGGACCTTCATGATGGTGAGCGGGCCCGGGTAAAACTACGTGGCCGGGAGTCAGAGCCATTCTCTGTACACCTTGGGGTGCGACAGGGATGTCCTCTGGCTCCCACATTATTTAACATCTATTTTGACCACGTAGTTCTTGAAGCCTTCAATAGCTGTACCGGGGGAATCTCCATATGGTACAGATATAATGGGAGGCTGATCGATGCCCGGGTGCGGTCAAGGGATGGCTCCCTATTGCTCAACCACGTTATGTATGCTGATGATTTGGTAATAGCTGCTCAGTCAGAGGAGGAGTTGGAGACGCTGCTGCTGAGACTGGAGCGTGCCACTAAGAGGTGGGGCCTTACCATCAGCCCCACCAAAACTAAGCACCTGCCTGGGTATTTTGTAGCATCGGACACTCCACCCCCACAACTCGCAATCGGTGATGGGGCAGTTGTGGAGAGAGTGGAGAGTTTCCCATACCTGGGCAGTGTGCTTATGACTGGCTCCAGTTTAACAGCAGAGGTCTCACTCCGAATCAGTCGAGCGGCAATATCTTTCCATCGGTTGGGTAACGCTGTGTGGAAGCTACCTGGTCTGTCGCTCCGCACTAAGCTTCAGGTCTTCTCGGCCACGGTCATTCCCTCCCTTCTCTACGCTTGCGAAACGTGGACCCCCCCTAATGGAACATCTTCGCCGGTTAGAAACATTTAGGCTGGCCTGCCTACGATCCATCCTGGGTTTAACCAGACTGGATTGTGTGAGGAGCTCACAAATCCTTGAAAGATCTGGGCAATGTCCCATCGGTGAGCTCCTCCGGCGGGCAAGGTTGCGATGGCTGGGTCATGTAGCCCGCATGCCCAGCCATCGCATGCCCAAACAACTCTTGTTCGGCCGGATTGAGGGGGCAAAGCGGGCGCGGCTTGGGCTAGAGAAGAGATGGAGTGATGTGGAACAGGAGGACGTGGAGCTGAGTGGACTTGCCGATGACTGGTACCAGCGGTGTCAAGATCGGCCTCTGTGGAGGAGGCTCGTGAAGGATGCTACTGGGCAGTTGGAGGTAGTCGCCCTCCAACAACAACGGAGGGCGGAGGAGCGACGCTCACAACAACGAGCGGAGCGCCGGGTGGCTAAAGCACAGCAGGTTGGCACAGTAGGGGGCACAGGTGGTGCATCAGCCAGTCATCTCAGTCAGTCGACCCGTGGCACCTGCTGGGTCTGCCCCGTGACCTCCTGCCAGCGGGCGTTCGACACTTCACGTGGCCTCAGGGTGCACATAGCCTGGCACAAGCGTCGTGGTGACATAACCGCCACTTAGTGGCGAATGGCGGTTGTTGTTGTTGTTGTGTGTGTGTATGTATCTGTGTGTATGTATCTGTATGTATCTGTGTGAATGTGTGTATCTGTGTGTGTATCTGTGTGTATGTATCTGTGTGTATGTATCTGTATGTATCTGTGTGAATGTGTGTATGTGTGTGTGTGTATCTGTGTGTGTGTGTATCTGTATGTACCTGTGTGAATGTGTGTATCTGTGTGTATGTATCTGTGTGTATGTATCTGTGTGTATGTATCTGTGTGTATGTATCTGTATGTATTTGTGTGAATGTGTGTATATGTGTGTGTATCTGTGTGTATGGGTATGTGTGTATGTATCTGTGTGTATGCATCTGTATGTACCTGTGTGAATGTGTGTATGTGTATGTGTGTGTATCTGTGTGTATGGGTATGTGTGTGTGTATCTGTGTGTATGTATCTGTGTGTATGTATCTGTATGTATTTGTGTGAATGTGTGTATGTGTGTGTGTATCTGTGTGTATGTATCTGTGTGTATGTATCTGTGTGTGTGTCTGTATTTGTGTGAATGTGTGTATCTGTGTGTGTATCTGTGTGTATGTATCTGTGTGTGCATCTGTGTGTATGTATCTGTATGTATATGTGTGAATGTGTGTATCTGTGTGTGTGTATCTGTGTGTATGTATCTGTGTGTATGTATCTGTATGTATCTGTGTGTATATATCTGTGTGTATGTATCTGTATGTACCTGTGTGAATGTGTGTATCTGTGTATCTGTGTGTGTATCTGTGTGTATGTATCTGTGTGTATGTATCTGTGTGTATGTATCTGTGTGTATCTGTGTGAATGTGTGTATGTATGTGTGTGTATCTGTGTGTATGTATCTGTGTGTATGTATCTGTATGTATCTGTGTGTGTGTGTATCTGTGTGTATGTATCTGTATGTATCTGAGTGAATGTGTGTATCTGTGTGTATGTATCTGTGTGTATGCATCTGTGTGTATGTATCTGTGTGTGTATCTGTGTGTATGTATCTGTATGTATTTGTGTAAATGTGTGTATATGTGTGTGCGCATGTATCTGTGTGTATGTATCTGTATGTATCTGTGTGAATGTATGTGTGTGTGTCTGTGTGTATGTATCTGTATGTATTTGTGTGTTTATCTGTGTGTATGTATCTGTGTGCATGTATCTGTATGTATCTGTGTGAATGTGTGTATGTGTGTGTATCTGTGTGTGTATCTGTGTGTATGTATCTGTATGTATCTGTGTGAATGTGTGTATGTGTGTGTATCTGTGTGTATCTGTGTGTG